ACCAGAACCATAAATGTAATTTATTGGGATTTTATGTGATAGACCAACACAAAGTAGCACATAATTGTGATGTGGAAGGAAAATGATAAATGGTTTTCAAAATTGTTTACAAATAAATATCTGAAAAGCGTGGTGTGCATTTGTATTCAGACCCATTTACTGTGATACCCCTAACTAAAATATAGTGGAATCAATTGCCTTCAGTTACCTAATTAGTAAATAGAGTCCACCTGTGTGTAGCTTAATCTCAGGATAAATACAGCTGTTCTGTGAAACCTTCAGAGGTTTGTCAGAGAATGTTAGTAAACAAACAGCATCATGAAGGCAGAGGACCACACCAGACAGGTCCTTGATACAGTTGTGGATCAGTTTAACTACTTATCCTCCGGAAGATTTACCCCCCTTCCTGACCAGGCCATTTGTTGCTATTCAGCACTGCACTATTTCAACTGGTAACTGCATGTTCATGTAATGCTGTACCCAAATGAAATGTATGTCCTTTTTTCACACAAATAGAGCTTTCTTTTTGCTGGTAATTGATCACCACTGCGTTTTTTATTTTTTGTGACATGAACAAAAAAATACCTTAAATTTTGTAAAAAAAAAAAAAAAAAAGATATTTTCTACTTCCAGTTACAAAAAATATCCAATAAACTCAAAGATAGTCATAAATGTATTCTGCTACATGTCTTGGTTTGTGTGAAAGTGTTAGCATCTACAAACTATGGTACAGTATACTGGAATTTACACAGCTTTTACTTTCTGACTGTCTATCACATTTCTTGAGGTGCTAAAATGCCAAGACAGTACAAAGACCCCTCAAATGACCCCTTTTTGAAAAGTAGACACCCAAAGGAATTTGCTGAGAGGCATGTGTCCATGGAAGATTTTATTTTTTGCTACAAATTTTTGAAAAATGTAAATTTTCTTTTTTTTTTATACACAAAATTGTTACTTAAATTATATATTGCTCATGTATGCCATGTGGAATAACACCCCAAAACACATTCTGCTACTTCTTTCGAGTATGAGGATACCACATGTGAGAGACTTTTTGGCAGCCTATCCACATAGAGGCCCCCAAAATCCAATGACCACTTTCAGGCTTTCAAAGAGCATATTTCCTCATATCACTTCCTCGCTACCTATCACAGTTTTGGAGGCCCTAAAATGCCAGGATAGTCCAAACACACCCTCAAATTACCCCTTTTTGGAAAAGAGACACCCCAAGGAATTTGATAAGAGGGATGGTGAATATTTTGCAGATATCATTTTTGTCACAGGGTTTTGACAAAGAAAAAAAGAAAAGAAAAAAAATAAGTTTTTGTTTTCTTCATTTTCCAAACACTTCTGGCAACAAATGAGATACTCACCTTAGCAAATATCTTGAAGTGTCTACTTTAAAAAAAGGGATCATTTGGGGGGTACTTCTACTATCCTGGCATTTCAGGGCCAACATTAGAAGCTTCTGCCACACACCACCCATTTTTCTAACCACTTAAAGAACAAGCCTTTTCTGACACTTTTCGTTTACATGAAAAAACATTTTTTTGCTAGAAAATTACTTTGAACCCCAAAACATTATATATTTTTTAAAGCAATGGCCTTACAGAATACAATGATGGGTGTTTCAATTTTTTTTTGCCACACACTGCACTGCAATTTTTCAAACACTATTTTTTTTTAAAAATACACTTTTTTGAATCTTAATGCACAAAAATATAATATATTACCCAATTGTTTGATAAAATATAAAAGATGATTTTACACTGAATAAATGGATAACAAACATGACATGCTTTAAAATTGCACATGCCCGTGCAACGGCGGCAAACTATGTACAGTTTTAATATCGATAGGCGACGCTTTAAAAGCCTGTGCAGGTCACCACTTTATATATTTACACAGGAGGTCCAGTGCTAGAATTACATTCCTTGATCTGACGTTTACCGTGATACCTCACATGCATGGTGCAATCTGTTTACATACTGACACGGGACCGACGCTTGCGGTCGCCTTTGTGCATGAGCACGGGAAGGGGGGTAGGGTGGGAGTGATTTTTTTTCTATTCTTTTGTAATTTTTTTTTTTTTTTACACTGTCCCTTGTTTTTTTCTTTTTGGATCACTTTTATTGTTATCACAGGCAATATAAATATTCCCTGTGATAGCAATAGGCAATGACAGGTATTCTTTTATTCTATTAGACTCTAGATCTCTCCTGTGCTGCTAAAGCATCTTATCATACCAAGATCAGTGTGATCAGATGCTTTCCCAATTTAAAAATGGCGCTGTTAATGGAAATTATGAAATGCTTGTAGCTTATGGTTTCTTAGACCATAGAGATGATTGGAGGCATTCTAGTCTCGATTCTCGGATTCCCCTGTGGGACGGGAGAGCCCAAGTCTCTTCCTGCTGCTTGCAAAAACAATCCAGCAGCTAATTAGCTGCTAGGATTGCTTTTACATGAATTCCAACCACCAGCTGAAAACAATTATACCAGGATGATGCCTGTAGCTGCAGGTATCATCCTGGTATAACTACTCAAAGTCCAGCAATGTACCTGTATGTTGCTGGTCCGTGTTGGGCATATATGTAACAGCAGAGAACACGGGCATATGGTGAATCGGGTCTGTGGACCAATATGACCGCAATTCATTCTTTTCTGTAATGCCCATGTTGAAGATTAGGCCCAAAAAAAGTTTTAAATTCAGAAACTGTGATAGGTTTCCATGCGAATTGTCTGGCAAGAGCTGAATTTGGGTGGACAGCGATGTAGTGTTATTCGTATAAATTGCTTTGCTCCACAATCAAGTGGTATACATTTTCCGTGAAAAACAGCAGATAAATGCTAGTGCTGGCAGCAAACAGGGATGCTCCTGCTAATGCTGCATTTTTGGGAACACTAAACAAAGAAGGCACTAGTATAGTTCTATTTGTGATCAATATATTGATCTGTATAAATGTTATACTAGTAATGGCGGTGATCAGCAACCTGTAGTGTGAGTGCGATAATGTGCAGGCAATATAATGCTAGCTGACCCTGGCTGGGAGGGGAGCTTGCAGACCCTGACACTATCTGATGTTGCTAGTGGCAGTATTACAGTGATTGGTGAAAAAAAAATGTATATACTGTACTAATGGCACTGGCTGGGTGACGGGGTGATCACTTAGCCCAGAGCCACTGCTCGCCCGCACAATGCGGGCAGGCGGTCGGCAAGTGGTTAAAGAAAAAAAATCTCAATGCAGTATTTTTTTTTAAATACTTTTATTAAAGTAATGCAATGTTACCATAGTAACATTGTACTGCTTTGGGGGGTGATCAGGGAATATATATATATATTTTTTTTTACACTTTGCATTGCATGAGCAGTGTAGATCATTGTTCTGCAATGCAAAGCTTGCTTTGAACTGTTATGAATGAGTTAGGTTCATGACAGTTCAATATATTAGTGATCTGTGATTGGCTAGAGCTGGTCACATGGAACAGGGTGCTGTGATTCACCCCATGTATCATGTAAGAGCTGTGAGCCAATCACAGCTCACCAGAAAAGAGAAGCAGAGCTGTTATGAATCAGACTGATTCATAACAACTTTGGTAACATTGCGATCACGTGATTGCATAGACATAACTTGATCACCTAGTCCCTTTCACCGGGATCAACATTCCACTGTGTCCCTTGGATTGTGGGAGGCGAGCGGTCCATGCCCCCCTGTGTTAGTACAGCCAGTGCGATATACGTGTACGTTGCTTTGCCTGTAGCTGCCGCCCATCCACAGTACATTGCAGACTGCTTCTACAAACATTTGTGAAAGAATGGGTTGCTCTCAGGAGCTCAGTGAATTCAAGCGTGGTACCGTGATAGGCTGCCACCTGTGCAATAAGTCCATCTGTGAAATTTTCTTGGTACTAAATATTCCATCTGACTAACAGTCATCTGTTAGTGGTATTATAACAAAGTGGAAGCAACTGGGAACAACAGCAACTCAGCCACGAAGTGGTAGGCCACGTAAAGTGACAGAGCGGGGTCAGCGCATGCTGAAGCGCACAGTGCTCAGAAGTCGGTAACTGCAGAGTCAATAGCTAAATTTAGCACAACAACAGTGCATAGAGAGCTTCATGGAATGGGTTTCCATGGACGTGCAGCTGCATCCAAGCCTCACATCACTAAGTGCAATGCAAAGCATGGATGCAGTGGTGTACAGCACACTGCCACTGGACTCTAGAGCAGTGGAGACATGTTCTCTGAAGTGATAAATCACACTTCTCTGTCTGGCAATCCGATGGATGTGTCTGTGTTTGGCGGTTGCCAGGAGAACGGTACTTGCCTGACTGCATTGTGCCAAGTCTAAAGTTTGGTGGAGGGGGATTATTGTGTGTCGGGTTGTTTTTCAGGGGTTGGGCTTGGCCCTTTAGTTCCAGTGAAGGGAACTGTTAAGGTGTCAGCATACCAAGACATTTTGGACAATTTCATGCTATCAACTTTGTGGGAACAGTTTGGGGATGTTCCCTTCCTGTTCCAACATAACTGCGCACCAGTCCACAAAGCAAGGTCCATAAAGACATGGATGAGTGAGTTTGGGGTGGAGGAACTTGACTGGCCTGCACAGAGTCCTGAGCTGAACTCAATACAATACCTTTGCGATGAATTAGAGCAGAGACTGCAAGGCAAGACTTCTCATCCGACATCAGTGCCTGATCTCACACATGTGCTTCTGGAAGAATGGTCAAACATTCCCATAGACACACTTCTAAACCTTGTGGACAGCCTTCCCAGAAGAGGCAAAGCTATTATAGCTGCAAAGGGTGGGCCAACTCAATATTGAACCCTACAGACTAAGATTGGGATGCTATAAACCGGTTCCCGATTGCCCTGTAGCAGAATTGCTACAGGGAGGCAGGGCTGCGCAAAATCACGTATATATGTGATTTTGCATTTCCTAGTAAGGGGCACACAGGCTGCCCTACCCGCACCGCCATTGGCAACTACAGATGTCGATCCCTGGCTCCCGGACGGTGATTCCCTACCAGCACCCGGCAATCACCGAGGAACAGTGACAGGGGAGAGGTCTGTGTGTAAACAACACAGATCTCTCCCCTGTCAGCACCAACATGCTGATTTGTATTGCTTTGCATACCAGAGCAATACAAAGCAGTTTGTTTCCCTAGTAAAACAGCACACAGTTAACCCTCTGATTGCCCCACATGTTTACCCCTTCCTGCCCAGTGTTATTAGTACAGTGTCAGTGCTTTTTATTAGCACTGATCACTGTATTAGTGTCATTGGGATGTCTGTGGCAGTTAGTTCCCCCCCACTGTCAGAATGCCCGCCGGAGTCCTGCTAAAAGTCACTGATCACTGCCATTACTAGTATAAGAAAACAATTCCAGTATATATACCGCCATTTGTAGACGCTGTGACTTTCATGTAAACCAATTAATTAGTATTGGGATTTTTTTTAACAAAGACATATAGCAGAAAACATTTTGGCCTAAATTTATGAGGAATATTGATTTTTAAAATTTTTTACTGGATAAGTTTTATAGCAAAAAGTACAATTTTTTTTTTGCCAAAATTGTCGGAATTGTTTTGTTTATAGCGCAAAAAATAAAAAATGCAGAGGCAATCAAATACCACCAAAAGAAAGCTCTATTTGTGTGGGAAAAAAGGACAGACATTTTATGTGGCTGCAGCGTTGCATGACCATGTAAATGTCAGTTAAAGTAACGCAGCGCCATATCGCAACAAATGGCCTGGTCAGGAAGGGGGGTAAATCCTCTGGAGGGCAAGTGATTAACGTTCATGTACATGTGAAGGCAGGCATCCCAATACTTTTGTCAGTATAGTAGTGTAATTTGGGATTATAGCTCTTTTCTATGGAATGACCAAGGTGAATGACAGAATGGAATGCCCTTAGAGTATAAAGGGAAGCAAGACGCGATTTGACATCAGAACCATTAGACATATCAAATAAATCCTTAACAGACAAGTTTAGTGGTGATATTTAAAATTTAGATGGTGGGATTATCATTGTTTTCTTTGGAATGTCAAAAGTAAATGATAGAAGGGAATGCCTATAGAATATAATGGGGAGTAAAGTATGAATATATTTTCAGACAAATCTAGCAATTTACCATTTACCATAGGTGACCCCCAAGTAGAGTAGCAGATTGTAAGATTGAGAATACTTTGCATTATAGTCGTTTTCTATGGAATGACCAAGGTGAATGACAAAAGGGAGTGCCCATAGAGTTTCACCTTTCCCACAGGTGTTCCCCAAGTATAGTAGCAGATTGTAAAATGAAAATTATTTGGGATTATAGCTGTTTTCTATTGAATGACAAAGGTGAATGACAGAAGAGAATGTCCATTGATTGCGGTGTCAAGTGTGTTACAGTGTTACAGTGTACAGTTGATTGAGGTGTCAAGTGCGTTACAGTGTACAGCTGATTGCGGTGTCAAGTGCGTTACAGTGTTACAGTGTCAAGTGCGTTACAGTTGATTGTACGGTTGTCAAGTGCGTTACAGTGTACAGTTGATTGCGGTGTCAAGTGCGTTACAGTGTGACAGTGTACAGTTGATTGCGGTGTCAAGTGCGTTACAGTGTGACAAGTGTACAGTTGATGCGGTGCGTGTACAGTGTCAATTGTGCAGTGTCAAGTGCGTTACAGTGTACAGTTGACAGTTGCAGTGTCAAGTGCGTTACAGTGTACAGTTGATTGATGCGGTGTCAAGTGCGTTACAGTGTACAGTTGATTGCGGTGTCAAGTGCGTTACAGTGTACAGTTGATTGCGGTGTCAAGTGCGTTACAGTGTGACAGTGTACAGTTGATTGCAGTGTCAAGTGCGTTACAGTGTGACAGTGTACAGTTGATTGCGGTGTCAAGTGCGTTACAGTGTACAGTTGATTGCGGTGTCAAGTGCGTTACAGTGTACAGTTGATTGCGGTGTCAAGTGCGTTACAGTGTGACAGTGTACAGTTGATTGCGGTGTCAAGTGCGTTACAGTGTACAGCTGATTGCGGTGTCAAGTGCGTTCAAGTGCGTTACAGTGTGACAGTGTACAGTTGATTGCGTGTCAACTGGTTAGGTGTCAAGTGCGTTACAGTGTTACAGTGTACAGTTGATTGCAGTGTCAAGTGCGTTACAGTGTACAGTGTTGATTGCGGTGTCAAGTGCGTTACAGTGTACAGTTGATTGCGGTGTCAAGTGCGTTACAGTGTACAGTTGATTGCGGTGTCAAGTGCGTTACAGTGTACAGTTGATTGCGGTGTCAAGTGCGTTACAGTGTGACAGTGTACAGTTGATTGCAGTGTCAAGTGCGTTACAGTGTGACAGTGTACAGTTGATTGCGGTGTCAAGTGCGTTACAGTGTACAGTTGATTGCGGTGTCAAGTGCGTTACAGTGTACAGTTGATTGCGGTGTCAAGTGCGTTACAGTGTGACAGTGTACAGTTGATTGCGGTGTCAAGTGCGTTACAGTGTACAGTGCATTTCAAATATTGTTTTTTCCTGTTTTTTTTTGCACAAATAAGATATGTGCAGTGTGCATAGGAAATTGTTAATTTTTTTTAATCAAACTATAGTCCGGCCCCCCAACAGTGTGAAGGTCAGTGAACTGGCCCCCTGTTTAAAACATTTGAGGACCCCTGCACTGTCCAATAACATTTTCATGCAATACTCTTATCTTTGTGAATAGTAATACGCCAGGTTGATGTTTTTTCATGTCAACCAGTTCCTGTCTTCATACAACATGGGGGTGTGTGTTGATGTCAGTGATATTTGTGGTACTGTCACATCCTTCCCACATTACTATACATCAAGGAGCTCAGAAGGATCCTCTCCGGTACACACATCAGTCACACAGCAATCTTGTATGTTGTACATTCAGAGACAATGATCAGCTTTATCCCATCTGTATTAGTTACCTCCTTACTGATACTTTATTTATCAAGTAAGTCAAATGTATTCATAATATACCAATTGCAGAATTACATTTTTCATATTTAATGATACCGGTACTGTATATGTAAATAGATGTAAAGAAATACATTTGGCCTAATATTTGTTATTCTGTTGAAGGTTCTGTCCATGGTGATACTATAAACTCAGCAGACCTGCATCTTTTTGGAGAAATTGGAGAAACAATAACATTATCCTGCAACTACTCTACCAGTAGCAATACTCCTTACCTGTCCTGGTATCGTCAGTATCCTCATCAGATACAGTTTATTCTTCTCCAGGGGGCAAAAGGGGTACTCTAATATCATGAAAAAAAACACAGAATTGGAACCTGGAAAGTGGCAATCAGAGACCAGTGACACTCATACAACTTTAACCATCCATGGCCTGTCAGTGTCAGATTCCGCTGTGTACCTGTGTGCTCTGGAGGGTGCACAGTACTACATTTCCACCTAGCTGCAATATGAAAAACTCCCTGTGATTGTTCTTTCCTGACCAGCAGGTGGTGCTGCTTTCACATGCTATAGGGTCTCACACTGTATATTATATTTGTTCTCAGGCTAGTGGTACATGTTCTGCTGGGTCTACATAAGTACTTCTGCTTCTTACAGTTACTTCATTATAACTAATAATGCACCATATTATAATATACCTATGAAACAGATATCAGCAAGTATTTTTCAAATATGAAGGTTGTTTGCAAAACTTTTACACACAATTACATGGTACTTGAAATAATTCTATGTCAAGGGTTACTGGAGGAAAGTCGACTCATACCAGGGAATACTTGATATACATTGACTTTGATAAAGGTTCAAACTTTAGGAGCGCTGCAAATATAAGATGCTTTGATGAATACACAGTTTCAATGGATAGAACAGTTATATGGGATAAAATAAAAGTTATGACACTCAATATATTAGCCAAAATGTTTGATCAATTTAAAGTGACCCAGCATCAGATATATTTTATATCTTAGGACCATGCATGCTAAAAATCTGTAGGTTTTTTTAATTTTATTTGCATGCAATTATTTATTCCCTTTCACAAATATCACAGCACTACCCTTAAAAATATTTGTTCTACATCACTCTAAAGGAATAACTATAATCTTTAGAGCCCTGGTGCGAGCCCGATGGCGGAATGCCAGGCTAGGTCGCAAGTGCAACCTTTGTAACCCTGGTAGTTCCGTCACTGGTGTCAGTAATTTTTTTTTATTACCCTTCTATTTTATTTTTTTTACAGTATTATTTAAAACATTTTTTTTTTTAGGAAACCCTGTTGGGGCTTTGGTGAGGTATCAGAGGTCTAAACAGACCTCTGATGTTTCACATTTGAGACAGAGAAAGGAGATTGGAGACACAGCCTTCAATCTCCATCTCTGCAACCTCAGCAGTACAGAATGAATGGACAGGAATAGCTCTGTACAGAGCTTCCCATTCATTCACACACTGAAACATAATAAACACAATTGCCGATGATGGACTCTCTTCAAACATTTCTGAATTAAAAACAATATTGAATTTAAATGAATCCAAAATAACGAGACCCAATTCAAATAGAATTCGAAACAAATTTAAAAACAAAATTGAATTCTACATCAAATTAAAAATGTAAACATAGAGCTGATTTTCTTCAAAGACTGTTTATTAGAATATAGCCATCTTACAAAATTCAAAAAGATGAGAATAGAATAAAACAGAATAGAATAGAAAATAATAGCATAGAAAAAAAAAAGAATAGAAAATAAAGGAAAAGAATAGAATGGAAAAGGAAAGAATAGAGAAAACAGAATAGACTTCAATAGAATAGAATAAAATAGAATATAGCCGTATTCTGAAATTTTAATTTCGAAAAGAATAGAGTAGAAAATAAAAGAATAGAGAATAAAGAAAACAGAAAAAAAAAAAAAAAAAAAAAAAAAAGGAATAGGAGTAGAAAAGAATAGAAAATAAAAGAATAGAATACTATAGAGAAAAATAAATTGAATTAGAACTGAATGAATAAAATAGAATATGGACGTGTTCCGAAATTAAATTTTCAAATAGGATAGAACCAGATATTCTTCACAATGATTTAGAATCAGATATTTTCAATTCGAATTCTATTCAAATACAGTACGCCAAATCCACTGGAAAAAATGGAATCCAGTCAAAAACGAATAGCAAAATGAAACAAATTTTGTTACGAATGCAATGAAAGAAAATTAGTAACTTGATGAATCGATACGAAAAGAAATGAAACACATTTTTTCATTCTGCACATGTCTAGTCTGTAATTAGGTTTCTGATTTTAGTTGTCTTCAGCAATTTAATTACTTATTGCCTATGTATACCATCTGTGTATGTTTGTCTTATCTGTTCCTGACTGAATATGTACAAATAAGTGCATGTCTTTGTCAGCATTGATGTTATT